AAGCTATCTGGGCGGTAATCACTCTAATCAGCGAGAAAAACCGAAGTCTGTGCAGATATTTCTTGAAGATTCCGCCCGGGCTGATCTGTTACCAGCAGCGGCCCCGGCAGACACAATGGACGAGCGGCAGACGCGCCCAAACCTTTAATAAGAGCCCCATTTGAAAATTGCTTTTAATAAGGGCTTAAAGTGGCGCGGTGTTTTCTCTGGTGATTCCAGGGCACACAGTGGGGTTTTGTGCGAGCCTGCGGAGATAACAGGGACCCGCTCGCTGTGAGTCTAATATAAACAGGTGTGTTTGGTGTTGAAACAGCTCCGACTGCACCAGAACGCCACACATGTCATTATGGCGCTTAATCACGGACGCTCGGCTCCGTGTCTCCGAGTCGCAGAGTCGCAGAGTCTCTGAGTCTGTGTCTGTGCAGCTACGGCGAGATTCCACAGTGATTGTTCACTCCTCTAGATCTGTTTACAAGGAGAGGTTTAAAAAAAGAAGTAAAAACTGTGTCTGTCTGTGCAGGTTCTGGTCTAACCCTGGACTAGCTCTGGTTTAGTCTCAATTTAGTTTCTTAGTATTGTATTTTATTTGTATAAAAGAAGCTCTGGAGGTCAAGGATGGTCTTAAATAACCTAAAGTAAGTGAGGAATAACTTTGGATCACTGCAAACTGTTAAAAAAAAGGGCTGGTTTTCATGGTTTTAAGTGTGTCTGTGCAGTTATGGCTCTGTCCTGTTAAAGACAAGAGATTCCAGTGTGATTGTTCACTTTTATAGACTTATAGACAAGGAGATGTTTCAGAAGAGAAATAGAAACTATCTGTGCAGGTTCTGCTCAAACCCTGGTTTAGTTCTGGTTTAGTCCCAATTTACGCCCAGTTAGTTCATTTGTATTGTGTTATATTCATATAAAATCAGCTCTGCATGTCAAGGATGGTTCTGAATGCATAAAATAAGTGAGGAATAACTGCATTGGATCACTGCAAAAAGAACTTGTTTTCATGATTTTAAGTGTGTCTGTGCAGCTGTGGCTCTGTTGTGTTAAAAAGAAGAGAGATTCCAGTGTGATTGTTCACTCTTATAGATTGATTGATACAAGGAGATGTTTTAGAAGAGAAATACAAACTGTCTGTGCAGGTTCTGGTCTAACTCTGGTTTAGTTCTTGTTTAGTCCCAGTTTATGCCCACTTAGTTCATTAGTACTGTATTATATTTGTATAAGCAGCTCAAAATAAGTCTCCTGTGCACTCAGGATGCTCCAGAACATGAGGTAAGTGAGAAATAACTTTGATTCTTGTGTGACTGTTCAGTCCTTTAGGTTCATCTACATGGAAACGCCTTGAACCTGGCGTCCACACAAGTGGACATACTGTACATGTCCAACACGTCCACACAAGTGGACATACTGTACATGTCCAACACGTCCACACAAGTGGACATACTGTACATGTCCAACACGTCCACACAAGTGGACATACTGTACATGTCCAACACGTCCACACAAGTGGACATACTGTACACGTGAGACACATTTTTCAGTTGTGACTTTATTGTGTTCCATCAAAATGATTAAAACAAAATGAAAGTTTTATAAATCAGATGTGGACATATAAATATAAAAAAAATATAAAAATATAAGTCTTCTTTTTGCCTCATCAGGTCCAATCAGGCCAAATAACAAAGAAAAACCAATAAAGCCACAAGAGTTCAGGTCCTAGGAGGTTAAAACAGAAATAAAGACTGTGTGTGCAGGTTCTGGTCTAACTCTGGTTTAGTTCTTTTTTAGTTCTTGTTTAGTCCCAATTTACACCCAGTCAGTTCATTAGTTTTATATTATATTCATATAAAAGCAGCTCTGGAGGTCAAAATAAGTCTCCTGTGTAATTAAACTGCTCTGAATCTATAAGGTAAAAGAGGAATAACTCTGGACCACTGCAAACCGTTTAAAAATAACCTGTTTTCATGTTTTTAAGTGTGTCTGTGCAGTTATGGTTCTGTAGTTTAAAGACAAGAGAGATTCCAGTGTGATTCTTCGCTCTTTTAGATCCGTTTACAAGAAGAGGTTTTAAAAGAGAAATAAAAACACTGGTTTGTTATGTTAACTTTAAATACTAAACTGTTTTACTCCAGAGCTCTCAGGTTTGAGCAGCTCATAATTACTACACTGACTTATTATTCCTTAAATGACACAAAGAACAAAGTTTATTTTTTCATGACCAATTCCAATACAGTTTAAATTCCTCAGAAACTAATGGCTGATACTTTTGGGCCGATATATACAGGGCATATTTTGGAATTATTGTATTGTCCTGTCCTGTTTAAAGTCTGTGCGCTTATTGTATGTTGCAAGTTAAAAAAAAAAAAAAATGCTTTAGTCCTTGAATAATCTGAGTTAAGACCTGGTTTAGTTCTGGATTAGTCCTGATCCAGGTGTGGTTTTGTTTTGGTTTAATCATGATTTTGACACTGGTTTAGTCCAAATTAAATACGTTTAAAAAAAAGAACTGGTCTAGCCCTGATTTAGTTCTTGTTTAATCCAAATTCACAGAGTTAGTTCATTTGTTATTTTATTATATATTGTATAAGCAGCTCTTGAGGTCAAAATGTACTGTCGGTATCAGGAAGTGCACGGATAGTTGTGCATACTAGTTGTTATTAGCCTTATCGTGACTGGAAATCGCTTATAAACTCATCGCGGTTCATTACGAGGAGGCTCAGAATGCAAAAGTTACTGCAAAACCGTTTAAAAGGAACGAGTTTTCATGTTTTTTAAGACTTTAAGGCGTCTTTAACTCATCCAGAATTCAGAAGCCACAAAACAAACACAAATCAATCTGATATACAAAGATAAAAGTACGTATAGAGTGACCAGATTTTCGACAAAAACTGAGACACTCTTGGTTTGTTTGACGAAACAAGTGCGTAATTAAGTTGGTATAGTCACATTTTCTTTGTGTTTTGGTCGTTTTTAAGCAGCTTTTCTGTATTTTACCGAAACAATGAACAATTTACGCTTCGCTTTACTGTTGGTAAAGATCAAACTGGTCAAAAATAAGGACATTTCTTGTTAAAAACTCGGACAAATCACCGGTTTTGTATAAATCTGCAGGGACAGACGACACTGGCTCAAAACTGGGACTGTCCCGGGTAAAAAAAGAAACATCTTGTCATCCTAAAAAAGTTTGGTTACGAGACCAAACAGCTCAAAACTATGAAACCGAAACCATGTCCTGATATTAAAAAGCAAAAGAAAACGAGTACTAGATATTCGAACAATGTTTAAATACAAAAGTGACCAGACTTTTGACTTCTATGGGTGATTAAAGGCAAACACATAACAACATACACTAGAAGTCACGCTAAGTTGCTCCCCCTTCAGAGCAATATCACAACACAATCAGCATACGTACAGAAAAACAACAGCACATCGCATCAGGTTTGTGAAGTCGTAGTTCAGGAGTCTCCAACCTGTAGCTCTTCAACGTAGCTCGACAAAAGATTTTCAGACTTAAACCAATGAGCTGAAGAACAAAAATGTGTTTAATTATGCGCCTATTGTAAATGGATCATTTTTAAGTCCAACTTTGTGCAGGAATAAATGGACAGTGGTTTATGTTTTACAGGCGTCTAACTGTGCACAAAGACTCGCCCTCTTTCCTACAATCTCAGTTTTCTTAGTTTTTCTCTGGTGTTTTTGTTTTGTAGGTGAGGAGCTCACTGGAGGAAAAGGTTGGAGACCCCTGTTGTGGTGTATCGTTTCGTGTCGTGTTTTTGTATATTTATGGAGAATTGTCGTGTGGGAGCGTCGGTGACGGAGACTTGCACAAAAAAATAACTTTTCTGGTGGAGGGTCCGTCAAAAGATTTCTCAGTGCGGCATTTAACTTTTCTTTTTACATGGATATCGGTATCGGCAGGAGATTCAAGACCGATACCTGATATAATAAACACTGCAAATATCGTGAAACATTAAACTATATAAATACATTTTAAGAGATTTATCATATATATTATATTGGTCCGGTATGTACAGCATTTTTTAAAATCATTTCCAGTTATATAATTACAATTTACTGCAAAGAAAACTTACATTATTTGTTAATATAAGAACTTTTTGCTGGTTTACAACTGTTTTTGAAATTATTTAGTCCCAGATCAAATATATTGCTAGTGTAGTCCTAGTTTAGACCTGGTTTATCAAATTTTTGGTTGTTTACATCTAGTTTTGCCTTAGTTTTGCCCTGATTTATCACAGTTTTAGTCGTTTACTTCTAGTTTTGCTCTAGTTTAGACCTGGTTTATCGCTATTTTAGTCATTTATTTCTAGTTTTGTTCTACTTTAGACCTGGTTTATCATAAATTTTGTCGTTTACTTCTAGTTTAGACTTGGTTTATCGCAATTTTAGTTGTTTACTTCTAGTTTTGCAATCGTTTAGACCTGGTTCATCATAATTTTAGTAGTTTAAATCTAGTTTAGACCTGGTTTATCATAATTTTAGTTGATTACTTCTAGTTTTGCTCTAGTTTAGACTTGGTTTATCGCAATTTTAGTCGTTTACTTTTAGTTTTGCCCTGGTTTATCACAAATTTAGTCGTTTACATCTAATTTTGCTTTAGTTTAGGCCTGGTTTATCATAACTTTAGTCGTTTACTTCTAGTTTAGACCTGGTTTATCCAGTTTTCGTCGTTTACTTCTAGTTTTGCTCTAATTTTGCCCTCGTTTAGACCTGGTTTATCATAATTTTAGTTGTTTACATCTAGTTTTGCCCTCATTTATCACAGTTTTAGTCATTTACATCAAGTTTTGCCAATAGCATATCCACAGAAACAAGCAGTTGATGGACCCTTAACCAAAAAGTTACATCTTTAAACAAGCATGGACGACTCTAAAACATCTTCAAACGTGTTTCTGATGAAGGGACAACGTTAAAACACGGTTAGAAAGCTCCAAGAAAAACAGCTTTGCGTAGTATTCGCTGCTGGGGCGTGGTTCTCGCGTGCGTACCTGGCTTTTGGACGCCGCCACTTTAGCGAAGAGCGCCTGGGAGACCTTGGCCCGCTTCATCTCCTGCTGGATCTCGTCGTAGATGGTGGAGTTGATGTTCACCAGGCAGTTCTCCGTCTTCCCGTTCCACTCGCTGGGCAGCGTGGAGGGCTTCACCTGAACACAGCACGAACGGGATCAAACCGAGAAACGCAGGAAAATACGGAATTAAAAAGTCTGTTTGAGCTAGAATCTGAGCTTTCCCCGGTACAGGGTGAAAGTGAAGAAGCAGCTCGTGAGGTCGAAACATGGACTGGATAAAGAAGTGGACTAAAGGCCGACACACACTACAGGAGTTTTCGGTCTTAAACGATTTCTAACTCGACACGAGGAGAATCTGATGGGATTTTAAATCTCCGACAGCAAAGTCTGCAGCAGGATCTGTCTGCAGACCTCAGGATATTTTTCAATTTTTCAAAGTAAGTCAACTGGAGCCAGAGTCAGTGGAGCCGGAAGTGTCCCCATTCTCACTTCCTGTTTGTAGCGTGGGGAGTAGTGTGTCAGCTGTGTCCATTTTCATTTACAGTCTATTCTGAAATGCACCAGGGCACCAGAGTGTCGGCGTGGTGGTGCAGTGTGCAGAGTGTCGGCGTGGTGGTGCGGTGTGCAGAGTGTCAGCGTGGTGTGGTGTGCAGAGCAGAGTGTCAGTGTGGTGCGGTGTGCAGACCAGAGTGTCGGTGTGGTGCGGTGTGCAGAGTGTCGTGTGGTGGTGCGGTGTGCAGAGGAGAGTGTCGTGTGGTGGTGCGGTGTGCAGAGTGTCGTGTGGTGGTGCGGTGTGCAGAGGAGAGTGTCGTGTGGTGGTGCGGTGTGCAGAGTGTCGTGTGGTGGTGCGGTGTGCAGAGGAGAGTGTCGTGTGGTGGTGCGGTGTGCAGAGTGTCAGCGTGGTGTGGTGTGCAGAGCAGAGTGTCAGTGTGGTGCGGTGTGCAGACCAGAGTGTCGGTGTGGTGCGGTGTGCAGAGTGTCGTGTGGTGGTGCGGTATGCAGAGGAGAGTGTCGTGTGGTGGTGCGGTGTGCAGAGTGTCGTGTGGTGGTGCGGTGTGCAGAGTGTCAGCGTGGTGCGGTGTGCAGAGCAGAGTGTCAGTGTGGTGCGGTGTGCAGAGCAGAGTGTCGGTGTGGTGCGGTGTGCAGTGTCATGTGGTGGTGCGGTGTGCAGAGCAGAGTGTCGGTGTGGTGCGGTGTGCAGAGGTGGGCGTACTGGGCGTCTGGGGGGGTGAAGGTGCACGGGGGAGGTGCTCACAGGAGAGATGCCCACAGGGATCCGCGGGTTCCAGTCGTCCGGCCGAACGCTCTCCTCCCGCCAGGGCTGCTCCACACACACACACACACACACACGGACAAACACACACACAGAGACACACACACACACACGGACAAACACACATACACACACATGGACAAGCACACACACACACACAGACACACACACACGGACAAACACACACACACACACACACAGAGAGAGAGACACACACAAACACCATTATTCCACTGTTAAGCTGATCATTACAAAATAAATGCAAGTCAAGTGAAACAGAGCCTGATTCAGCAGCCTGTTGTGTCATGACCAAAATCTTTTGACAAGGTAACAAGTCTGGTAATAAAAGCAGCCGGAGCATTAGCATATGAATGGCTCCGTATCGAGAGGAGCCGCGGAGATGAGAGAGTCTAGACGGCTGATAGACGCGGCGCGAGCGCGAGCTCTGATTATTCTGACATTTGTGGTCAGGTAGAGTCCCGGAGCCGCTCCAGCCTCTGATCTGTTTTATGACGAACCGCGAGTGCCGGGTTAGCGCGCGGGCTAATTGTTAAGGCAGAGACGTGCGCTAACGGGTCGCGCGGAGAAACATACCTGCGCGTCTGTTTTTATGAGGCCAATAAAAGCTCCAGTGTCTCAGCTCCAGTGGCAGCGCCTGATTTATGCTCCTGGAGTGAGCAGGCTCCATAGGAGGTTGGCAGATGGCCAGGTACACGCGCCGAGTACACGCACGAAGTACACGCACAAAGTACACGCGGCGAGTACACATGCCGAGGACACGCGCTGAGACATGAGCGTGGCAGTGCACAGGAACACTACATGATAAATGTCAGTGGCTTTAATTCACACAGAGAAATCAGAGCTCTCTGTTTATCACGAGGGACAGAACAAAAAACTAAATATCGTGATCTCGTCTCGTCAAAGTTCTCACAATAATATCGAATCGCGAGTCTGATTCATCGGACGGTTTCACTTGGTGGAAACCTTGTGACCTCGCAGCATTAGGATTGGTCGTGACGTATGTAATGTTCCAAATCCCACAGCTTTAGTCCTGTTTTAGTCCTATTTTAGTCCTGGTTTAGTCCAGGATTGTTCCATATTTAGTCCAGGTTTAGTCCAGGTTTAGTCCAGGTTTAGTCCACATTTAGATCATGTTTAGTCTAGGTTTAGTCAAGGTTTAGTCCATGTTTAGTCAAGATTTAGTCCAGGTTTAGACCAAGTTTAGTCCAGGTTAAGACCATGTTTAGTCCAGGTTTAGTCCACGTTTAGTCAAGATTTAGTCCAGGTTTGGTCCAGGTTTAGTCCACGTTTAGTCCAGGTTTAGTCCAGGTTTAGTCCAGGTTAAGACCATGTTTAGTTAAGGTTTAGTCCACATTTAGACCACGTTTAGTACAAATTTAGTCCATGTTTTAGTCAAGGTTTAGTCCAGGTTTAGTCCAGGTTTAGTCCAGGTTTAGTCCAGGTTTAGTCCAGGTTTAACCAAGGTTTAGTCCATGTTTAATCCACATTTATTCAAGGTTTAGTCCACATTTAGTCCAGGTTTAGACCACATTTAGTCCAGGTTTAGTCCAGGTTTAGTCCAGGTTTAGTCCAGGTTTAGTCCAGGATATCTCAGTAAATATCGTTTGGTGAGACTTGGATCGTTACACTTTTATTTCTTATTTCACTTTGGAGCTACAGTGGTGTGGACTCGTTGAAAGTGAGAGACTCTGGAGCTTTTGTTTGTGTCAGGTGCAGATGGACTAAACCAGGACTGAACCAAGACTGAACCAGGACTGAACCAGGTCTAAACCAGGACTGAACCAAGACTTAACCAGGACTGAACCATGAGTAAACCAGGAGTAAACCAAGACTAACCCAGGACTAAACTGGTCTTAGTCCTGGTCTTGCTCCCTGTCTCAGTCCCATTCTCATTTCTGGATTTAGCTCTGATCTGGTCCTGGTCTGAGTCCTGGTTTGGTCCTGATCTCTGTCCTGGTTTAGACCTGGTTTAGACCTGGTTTAGTCCAAGGTTTAGTCCAAGGTTTAGTCCATGTTTAGTTAAGGTTTAGTCCAGGTTTAGTCCAGGTTTAGTCCAGGTTTAGTCCAGGTTTAGTCCAGGTTTAGTCAAGGTTTAGTCAAGTTTAGTCAAGGTTTAGTCCAAGTTTAGTTCAGGTTTAGTCCAGGTTTAGTCCAGGTTTAGTCAAGGTTTAGTCCAGGTTTAGTCCAGGTTTAGTCCAGGTTTAGTCCAGGTTTAGTCCAGGTTTAGTCAAGGTTTAGTCCAGGTTTAGTCCAGGTTTAGTCCAGGTTTAATCCAGGTTTAATCCAGGTTTAATCCAGGTTTAGTCCAAGTTTAGTCCACATTTAGTAAAGGTTTAGTCCAGGTTTAGTCCATGTTTACTCCAGGTTTAATCCAGGTTTAGTCCAGGTTTAGTCCATGTTTAGTCCAGGTTTAGTCAATGTTTAGTCCAGGTTTAGTCCAGGTTTAGTCCAGGTTTAGTCCAGGTTTAGTCCATGTTTAGTCCAGTTTTAGTCCAGGTTTAGTCCAGGTTTAGTCCAGGTTTAGTCCAGGTTTAGTCCAGTTTTAGTCCAGTTTTAGTCCAGGTTTAGTCCAGGTTTAGTCCAGGTTTAGTTTTAGTCCAGGTTTAGTCCAGGTTTAGTCCAGGTTTAGTCCAGGTTTAGTCCAGGTTTAGTCCAGGTTTGTTTAGTCCAGGTTTAGTCCAGGTTTAGTCCAGGTTTAGTCCAGGTTTAGTCCAGGTTTAGTCCAGGTTTAGTCCAGGTTTAGTCCAGGTTTAGTCCAGGTTTAGTCCAGGTTTAGTCCAGGTTTAGTCCAGGTTTAGTCCAGGTTTAGTCCAGGTTTAGTCCATTTAGTCCAGGTTTAGTCCAGGTTTAGTCCAGGTTTAGTCCAGGTTTAGTCCAGGTTTAGTTTAGTCCAGGTTTAGTCCAGGTTTAGTCCAGGTTTAGTAGTCCAGGTTTAGTCCAGGTTTAGTCCAGGTTTTAGTCCAGGTTTAGTTTAGTCAGTTTACCAGGTTTAGTCCAGCCAGGTTTAGTCCAGGTTTAGTCCAGGTTTAGTCCAGGTTTTAGTCCAGGTTTAGTCCAGGTTTAGTCCAGGTTTAGTCCAGGTTTAGTCCAGGTTTAGTCCAGGTTTAGTCCAGGTTTAGTCCAGGTTTACCAGGTTTAGTCCAGGTCCAGGTTTAGTTTAGTCCAGGTTTAGTCCAGGTTTAGTCCAGGTTTAGTCCAGGTTTAGAACAAGTTTAGTCCAGGTTTAGTCCAGGTTTAGTCCAGGTTTAGTCCAGGTTTAGTCCAGGTTTAGTCCAGGTTTAGTCCAGGTTTAGTCCAGGTCCAGGTTTAGTCCAGGTTTAGTCCAGGTTTAGTCCAGGTTTAGTCCAGGTTTAGTCCAGGTTTAGTCCAGGTTTAGTCCAGGTTTAGTCCAGGTTTAGTCCAGGTTTAGTCCAGGTTTAGTTTTAGTCCAGGTTTAGTCCAGGTTTAGTCCAGGTTTAGTCCAGGTTTAGTCCAGGTTTAGTCCAGGTTTAGTCCAGGTTTAGTCCAGGTTTAGTCCAGGTTTAGACCAGGTTTAGACCAGGTTTAGACCAGGTTTAGTCCAGGTTTAGTCCAGGTTTACTCCAGGTTTAGTCCAGGTTTAGTCCAGGTTTAGTCCAGGTTTAGTCCAGGTTTAGTCCAGGTTAGTCCAGGTTTAGTCCAGGTTTAGTCCAGGTTTAGTCCAGGTTTAGTCCAGGTTTAGTCCAGGTTTAGTCCAGGTTTAGACCCAGGTTTAGTCCAGGTTTAGTCCAGGTTTAGTTTAGTCCAGGTTTAGTCCAGGTTTTAGTCCAGGTTTAGTCCAGGTTTAGACCAGGTTTAGTCCAGGTTTAGACCAGGTTTAGTCCAGGTTTAGTCCAGGTTTAGTCCAGGTTTAGTCCAGGTTTAGTCCAGGTTTAGTCAGGTTTAGTCCAGGTTTAGTCCAGGTTTAGTCCAGGTTTAGACCAGGTTTAGTCCAGGTTTAGTCCAGGTTTAGTCCAGTTTAGTCCAGGTTTAGTCCAGGTTTAGTCCAGGTTTAGTCCAGGTTTAGTCCAGTTTAGTCCAGGTTTAGTCCAGGTTAGTCCAGGTTTAGTCCAGGTTTAGTCCAGGTTTAGTCCAGGTTTAGTCCAGGTTTAGTCCAGGTTTAGTCCAGGTTTAGTCCAGGTTTAGACCAGGTTTAGTCCAGGTTTAGTCCAGGTTTAGACCAGGTTTAGTCCAGGTTTAGTCCAGGTTTAGACCAGGTTTAGACCAGGTTTAGTCCAGTTTAGACCAGGTTTAGTCCAGTTTAGACAGGTTAGGTTTAGACCAGGTTTAATCCAGGTTTAGTCCAGGTTTAGACCAGGTTTAGTCCAGGTTTACTCCAGGTTTACTCCAGGTTTACTCCAGGTTTAGACCAGGTTTAGTCCAGGTTTAGTCCAGGTTTACCCAGGTTTAGTCCAGGTTTAGACCAGGTTTAGTCCAGGTTTAGTCCAGGTTTAGTCCAGGTTTAGTCCAGGTTTAGTCCAGGTTTAGTCCAGGTTTAGTCCAGGTTTAGACCAGGTTTAGTCCAGGTTTAGTCCAGGTTTAGTCCAGGTTTCCAGGTTTAGTCCAGGTTTAGTCCAGGTTTAGTCCAGGTTTAGTCCAGGTCCAGGTTTAGTCCAGGTTTAGTCCATAATATCTCAGTAAATATCGTACGGTTACACTTTTATTTCTTATTTCTGTCGTTGAAAGTGAGCGACTCTGGAGCTTTTGTTTGTGTCGGTGCAGATGGCGTCGCATGTTCCCTTCATTAGGCTGATTGTTAAAATACAAATGTATTTTTCTCTCCGTTCTGTGCAAAGCAACAGCTAATCTCCACCTCCATTCATATTCACGAGAAAACTTCACTTAATGTTAAACAACAGTTGGTTATTCCTGCTAATTTTTTCCTTGTTTTTAGATTTTTTGGTAATGATACCTCAGGGCGACGCAATATGTCACCATCAATCATCGTGCGGAAAAACAACACGCGCAGTATTCTGATCACAGAGGAGGAAACGCGACGCTGATGTGAGAAAGACTCCAAAGACCCAAGCCCGGGAACAGAAACACAAAGACCGAAACGCACTTCGATTATTGATTATTGATCGTGAGAGAGAAGAGAGAAGTGAGAAGGCTGCAGGAGGTTTGAGCAAAAACACGGAGAGAAAGAGGCTGAAGGTTTAATTCAGGTTAAATCCTGGTTTAGATCAGGTTTAGTCCAGGTTTAGATCAGGTTTAATTCAGGTTTAGTTCAAGTTTAGTCCAGGTTTAGTCCAGATTTAGTCAAGGATTTTTTCAGGTTTATTTCAGATTTAGTACAGGTTTAGTCCAGGTTTAGTCCAGTTTTAGTCCAGGTTTTAGTCCAGTTTTAGTCCAGTTTTAGTCCAGTTTTAGTCCAGGTTCAGTCCTGTTTTAGTCCAGGTTCAGTCCAGTTTTAGTCCAGGTTCAGTCCAGGTTTAGTCCAGGTTTAGTCCAGGTTCAGTCCAGGTTTAGTCCAGTTTAGTCCAGG